GGAGGATTCCTGAAAGACTTTACAGAGAAGGGGGCATTTGTGCCTGGTCTCAAAGGGTGAATAGGAGTTCATCCAAGGGAAAAGTGGGAAAGAGTATTCCACAAAAAACAACATGTACAAAGAAGTAAGAAATACTGGGAAATGGGGCTGAAGAAGGAGGCTGAAACTAAATGGTTCTCATAGGAAGTAGGGAAGGGTGGGAGGGACAAGAGAAGTTGAAGCCCTCTCCAGCTCCACTGCCAACACCCAGGACCAGCCCACAAGACTTACCTGGACCACTGAACTAATTTTCCAGTACTCAGCAACCTTATCCACCCCACCCCCAAATGTTATCCACCCTAGGCACCTAGGAGGAATAATCTTTTAAAGAAATAAGTCAAATTATGTGATTTCCCTGATAAAAGCCCTGTACTAGCTTCCCATTAAACTTAGAATAAAACCCAGACCCCTCACACGGGCCATCGTGTGATCTCCTTCCTGCCTTCTCTGTCCCTCCAGACACAGGGTGTATGCCAGGAACTCCTCTCAGGACCTTGCCACTGGCTCTTCCCTCTACCTGAGCTCCCTCAGGTCTTCAGAGCTCACTCCCATCTTTCATTCCTCATAGGCTGTCCCTGGCTTAAAGCAGGGTTCTCAGCCACATTCTTCCCTATCATTGCTGCCCCGGGTTCCATCAGGGCACCCGTCAGTTTCATTTAGGGGGCCATTCCAAGGCACCACAGCTGAGAAGACTCCCTTCCATGTCCTAATTCCTTTCTCTCACCACTCCCCCTTGCTTACCTTCATAGCCAAGCCCCCGATTTGAATTCCTCAGGATTATCTATTTACCTATTTTGTGTCAGTCTTTAGCACTTAACCCACAGTACCTGGGGCAGAGTTTTGTCCATGGCAAATGTTTGTTGATCGAATGAATGAATGATCAGAAAATTGACAAGAAATGGACTAGAGAGGAGAGAGACAGGGGAAAAGGAAACTGTGGAGGATACTGCTAGGATCATCCCCAAAGACAGAGAGAGGGCCTCATGCAGGGCAGAGTTCACAGCCAGACATGGTTCCCAGTTGGACCAACAGGTGTTAGTGACCAGGTGAATGTGGGGAGTTGAGAGGAAGGGATAAGGATGAGCCCAAGTGAAGGAACAAAGCAGGAAGAGTTAGATGGGGACTGAGGGAAAGTAATGATGATTCCACTTGGACTGCTTGAGTCTGTGGTGTTTGAGGGACATCTGCACAAAGGCGTCGAGAAGGAAGTTGGACTGACTTGTCTTAGTCAAGACAGGGCTGAAATTTGGGACCTGTCGTGTAGATGGGAGCACAGAGGCCAAGAGGAGATGAGTCACCCAGGAAAAGTGTACAGGGAGGGAGGGTTCTAGAAGCCCAAAACCTGGGGAACATTAGGCCTTGAGGAACCCACAGGAGCCAACCAGAAATGGTTGGAAAGGTTAAGTCCCTCGACAGAGGAGAGAGAAGAAGCCCAGAGAGCAGGCAGGGAGCTTCCAAAAGAAGGGGATAGGCCCAGCAATGTCGGATACTGCAGAGAGCTCAGCCAAGGAAAAAGGAGAAGCTGCTGTATTTGGCAGCTAAGAGGTCATTGCTGATCCTTCCAGGGTGAGGTCACCTCTGAGGTTAGGGAGGAGGCCAGATTGTAGTGGAGCAAGTGGTAAATGAGAGGAGAAGTGACAGAAATAGTGAGTGGAGACCATTTTAAAATTTTTGACAAAAAGAAGAAACTAAGACATAAGACAACAAGGCGATTAATTAAGAGGAGAAGAAGTCAAGTGAAGGAAGTGAAGGCTCTCGTTTTTGATTTTTTTCACTTAATTGTTTTTCCTGTAATTACATGTTCACTGCAGAAAATTGTAAAATGCATAAAAGGATAGAGAAGAAGGGAAAAAAACTCATTTAACATGTAGTCTATTTCCTTCCAGTCTTTTCTCTATGTATTTTTTCCTTTACCTTGGAGAATTATCTTGAATGTGCAATTAATTACATGTTATACTTTTTTTCTGCCATTAAACACTGTTTCCTAAAAGTGGAAGAGAACTTTCCGCCTCCTCTTCCTCCTCCTTCTCCCATGTCGCAGTCCACCCCATCCCCTCTTCCTCCCTCTCCTTTTCTTCTTCTTTCAAATATGAGAC